TTTCTGGGGGCTGGTTTCTGGGAAGTGGTTTCTGGGGGCTGGTTTCTGGGAAGTGGTTTCTGGACGCTGGTTTCTGGAAAGTGGTTTCTGGGAAGTGGTTTCTGGGAAGCGGTTTCTGGGGGCTGGTTTCTGGGAAGTGGTTTCTGGGAAGTGTTTTTTGGGGGCTGGTTTCTGGGAAGTGGTTTCTGGGAAGTGGTTTCCGGGAAGTGGTTTCTGGGAAGTGGTTTCTGGGGGCTGGTTTCTGGGGGCTGGTTTCTGGGAAGTGGTTTCTGGGGGCTGGTTTCTCGGAAGTGGTTTCTGGGAAGTGGTGTGGTTTCTGGGAAGTGGTTTCTGGGCTGGTTTCTGGGAAGTGGTTTCTGGGAAGGTGTTTCTGGGGGCTGGTTTCTGGGTCGGGGGGGGTGGTTTCTGGGAAGTGGTTGCTGGGAAGTGGTGTGGTTTCTGGGAAGTGGTTTCTGCGAAGTGGTGTGGTTTCTGGGAAGTGGTTTCTGGGCAGTGGTTTTTGGGAAGTGGTTTGTGGGAAGTGGTTTCTGGGAAGTGGTTTCTGGTGACTGGTTTCTGGGAAGTGGTTTCTGGGGACTGGTTTCTGAGAAGCGTTCTTTTTTTGAGGGGGTGGTGGTGAAGGCCTAAGTCTAACCCACAGACATCCTAAAGAAGCAAGGCCCTAAGCCAAGCCAAAAGAAACCGTGGCCCTACAGGAACGAACCCTAAGCAAAACCGAACCAAACCCTAAAGAAGTGAAGCCTTGAGTCAAACCCACAGACATCCTAAAGAACTGAAGCCTTCAGTGAAGCCGAAAGACATCCTAAAGAGCAAAGCCCTAAGGCAAACCAACCCCCCTGAAGAAGTGAAGCCCTAAGTGAAACCCAAGACATCCCAAAGGAGCCCTCACGTGAAGGCCTAAGTCCAACCCAAAGACATCCTAAAGAAGCAAAAGAAAACCTAAAGGATCGAAACCCTAAGCAAAAAAAACAGATCCTCAAGAAGTGAAGCCCTGAGTCAAATCCAAAGACATCCTCAAGAAGTGAAGCCCTAAGCTAAGACCAAAGAAACCCTAAAGGAGCGAGGCCCGAAGCAAAACCAAAAGAGACCCCAAAGAAGTAAAGGCTTATCCGACCCAAAGACATCCTAGAGACGCAAAGCCGGAAGCCCAACCACATGAAACCCTAAAGGAGTGAAGCCTGAAGCAAAAGAAAAAGACTAAAGAAGTGAAGCCCTAAGCCCCTCTCCACTGAAGCCCTAATGCCAACCCAAAAACATCTTAAAGAAGCAAGCCCCTCAGGCAAACCAAACGAAACCCTAAAAGAGCAAAGCCCTGAGCAAAACCAAACCCAGCTTCGCCAAAGCACGTAATTACCACGACCATGTGCACAAAACACAAAATGTTGAGCAAGAGATGCTGTTGAATTTGTGCCAAAGACATCCTAAAGAAGTGAAGCGATAAGGCAGGCCAAAAGAGACCCTCAAGAAGTAAAGCTCTAAGTCACAACCAAGGACATCCTAAAACAGCAAAGTCCTATGGCAAACCAGCCAGAAACCCTAAAGAAGCGAAGCCCTAAGTGGAACCCAAGACATCCTAATGGAGGGAAGCCCTAAGCAAAACCAAACCAGGCCCTAAAGAAGGGAATCCCTGAGTCAAACCCAAAGACATCCTAAAGAAGTGAAGCCCTAAGTGAAAACGAAAGACATCCTAAAGCAGCAAAGCCCTAAGCCCAACCAACCAGAAACCCTAAAGAAGTGAAGCCCTAAGTGAAACCCAAGACATCCTAAAGGAGCCCTCACGTGAAGGCCTAATTCCAGCACAAAAACATCCTAAAGAAGCAAAAGAAAACCTAAAGGAGCGAAACCCTAAGCAAAACAAAAACAGATCCTCGAGAAGTGAAGCCCTGAGTCAAACCCAAAGACATCCTGAAGAAGTGAAGCCCGAAGCTAAGACCAAAGAAACCGTAAAGCCGAAGCCCGAAGCAAAACCAAAAGAGACCCTAAAGAAGTGCAGGCTTATCCGACCCTAAGACATCCTAAAGACGCAAAGTCCTAAGCCCAACCACATGAAACCCTAAAGGAGTGAAGCCTGAAGCAAAACCCAAAAGAACTAAAGAAGTGAAGGCCTAAGCCCCTCTCCATTGAAGCCCTAAGTCCAACCCAAAAACATCCTAAAGAAGCAAAGCCCCTAAGGCAAACCAAGAGAAACCACCTACCAAAAACACCCACTTAATCTCACCTACGAAAACCACTTCTTTATAAGTGTCTTCTATACTCTTACGGCGGCGGGCAGGTCCGGCCGGAGCTCACGTAACATGACCCTCTAAGAGGATCGCGCGTGCCAAGTGTTCAAACGTGTAGTGAAACGTCGATCGCGTTTGACGCGTTTGACCTGGAGCGACCCTCTGCGAGGATCGTGCGTGTCATATGATAATGCGTGGTACAAAACGCTCGTTCTGGAGACTTCCGCGGCTCACTTTTGAAGGAAGTCTCGCACAAAACGCTCGTTCTGGAGACTTCCGCGGCTCACTTTTGGAGGAAGTCTCGTACGATACGCTCGTTCTGGAGACTTCCGCGGCTCACTTTTGGAGGAAGTCTCGTACGAAACACTCATTTTCACTAGCAAATGCTACCTTCGAAGCACTACCGAATGATGCGTGTTCCAAAATGAGCCGCGAAATTGGTCTCACGCTGCAGTCCCGGAGAGTTTTCTTTTCGTCTGGGTTCCAAAATGAGCCAGGTTCCAAAATGAGCCGTTGCTAGGTTCCAAAATGAGCCGTGTACCGTGAACTTGTACCTCCTCTCATCGAAGGTCGGGTAGCTGCCGTCGTATGTGGGTGGTCTCAGCCTCAGTCGGTGTGTTTAGGCTAGTGCGCCCACTGTGCTTGCGCAGTGTGTTGCCATTGCTTCTGTTGAGAGGCCCCCACACCGCAAGTATTGGGATCAAGCCCTCTCTCTGTTTGTGTCTCCGTATGTGTTGCTTGGCTGATTGAGCCGTTGCCCAATTGTCTCTGTTGCACGCTGTGTTCGTGTGTTGAAGGGCATGTTGCATCTTAACAGTGTAAACACACACACACACGTATTCATATATGCATACATATATGCATATCATAATCCACCGCCCAAAGAATCGGGCTGTGGCGGACAGGCCGCTTGCGCACTATAGATGTATTATAAAATTAGATCACGGCAGAGCACGTGCGGAACCCACTGATTGGTTTCCCTGGCCTGAGACTGTCCCAGATCATTTGAGGTTTTTGTGGAGGGGGGGTTGGTTCATCACAAGGTTTTGGGTTCGCCAGGTTGGTCCCAAAGAGAGGTGACTGGTGGAACAGGAAACGGAGCAAAAACCAAGGGTTGGGGCGTCTCAATCAAGTTATCAAGAAAGAAGACCTTGAACTAGTTAACTTACTCAAAACTTTTGAATGGAACCGATCCGGAAAACAGTGACTTTCGTTATTCTGGATTCGTGGCCCCCAAGACATGCCTGAAAGATAATTCTTAGATAGCTTGGGTTCGTTGGCTGTCCCAGGTGGTTTATGATGTGTTGCGAGAATCTATCCGAAGCTTGTGTGTGAAGTGCTACCTCCGTAGAATGGCCCGAACTGGTAGTACCGAGAGCGCATCGTGGTGATTGGTTCACCCTATTTGTTGGAAAGATGTAGGGGCTCATTTCACACGATGTTGGCCAACCTCACCACAACACGGGGCTGACCCAGCCTAAAGGTAAACCCAAATCCTGGTCAAGTGGAACCCCCCACCCCAGTTGCCCATCTACCAACTCTATCTCCTCCTGTCAGCTGTTATAAACTCCCGACCAACAAAGCACCCACCTGAGAGAACTTGTTGAAAAACACAACCATTGGTCGTGTGAGTTGTGATGTCATCTCTTTCTCTTGTTTTCTATTCTATTTTCCTTATCATTCATGGCTCATCCAACATTCAAAGGTCATCAAAGGAAAATAACACTTCGAGCCTTGACACTGGCAGTTCCACTGTCGGCCAATGGCCTCAAGATCTGCCATCCTCCGGCCATGGTGAAAGCTGCGGCACGGCGGCGGCCTGCTGCAAAGAGGATAGGGCCAAAAACGGAGGAGTCTTTTTGTGCCTACGAACCGCCCTCTATTTTTGATCACACACCCATCAAAATATGGTCCCTTAATTTTGCGAACGGGGTCGTTTTAGAACGTGGGACCGAGGTCGAGGTCGTCTTGGAACGTGTGTCTTTTGTGCCTTCTTTTTTCTCTTGGCTTTTGTGGTGTGTGTTTTTGGGTTGTTTTCTCCTTTGCGTTTTTCTTTTGTTCTTGCGGTGTGTGGTTTTTCAGTTGCTATTTTTTTCTCCTGTTCTTGTGATGTGTCATGAGCTTGTATTTTTTCTCGTGGTACTCGTGTTTCCGGGTCTTGTGGGGTCTGTGTGTATTACAATTTAGTTATAGTTATTGTTAAAGTTATTGTCATTGTTCTTAGTACTATTGTTTTTTTTTGACCAGTTTTTTTTCCATCAGCGAAACATGTGTAAAAATGCATGTGCGTGGTGGGCCGCGAAATTGAAAGCCTGGCGCGCGAAAGCCTTGAGAAAGCATTGCACAAGTGATAGTTCACAACTTGTAGCAGCAGCACACCTTTTGTCGGCCAAAATTTGGAACAGGAGGGAGCAATTCCAACTTGGAGCAGAAAGGAGCATTTTTTTCAACCCGAGGGTGACATTTTCAAGGAAGGAGCCATCAAACTTGGCACATCTTGTGTGAGCCGCACGAGGGTAAACTTTGGAACAGGAACGGGCACTTGAAACTTGGAGTTTACCTTTTGTGGGCCACCGAAGGTAAAGTTTGGAGAAGGAAGGAGTTGTTCCAATGGTCACACCATTGTAGGCAACACGAGGTAAATTTTAGAACTGGCAGGAGCAGTTCCAAGGGCTTGTGTTTTTTCTTTCACGGTTGGTGTGTTCTTTGGAGGGAGGTGCTTCGCCCTACCCCCAACCCCCTCCCACGCTATGAATTTGCAACCTCTCCAAGTTCGGCCTGTTTTAAGGGTTGCACATCAGCGCGCAATTTTTTCAATTCATTTTATCCACCTGGGGCTCCACAAACATGGCGGCATTCTTGGAACTTGGCTTCGGTTGGCTTCGGATGGCTTGTGGATTCTGTTGGCTTTTGGTGGGCCCGTGGGTTTCTGTAGCACCTCTGTGAGCAGTTCCTTTTTTGTAGCAACCCCTCCCGCGCAACGAAACTGGCAATCCTTCTGGTTTCTTGCCTGCCACGAAATCTAGTTTTTACAAGTGACACCCCTGTCCCAGCTTTTCTATCGTAGCTGAGTGGACTTTTTCGCGGATGAGTGATTGCTTTCCGACATGGCCGTAATCATGTGTTCCAAAATGTAAAAAAACTCGACCCTGTGACTCTGTCTGTTCCAAAATGACCGGCCTACTCCAAAAATATTGCAATTTCCTATCAAAGCTTGGTTCATGTTTGGGTTCTGTGTGGCTTTCAATAGGTGCGCGACGAGTTCAAGCTCAAAAGCTGGACGTCATATTCGCGTGTGCTGCCAGGGTGGCGCGAAGCCCTCACGTCGCTTCGCGGCGCCGACTTCCAAAGGCTTGGGTCATCAACTTGCAAAGAAGGCCGGGGGTCGATGTGCGCCCGTGGCGGAGGAGGTCAGCAAAGTTGGGTCATTTTTCCATCAAAACACAAGGTGAATTGCAGAGTAATTGCAGGAATGTCAGCATGTGCAGCAACGGATGCATTTTACTCCTAGGAGGCAGTGCCAATTTTTCCCGCCCTGACTCTTCTCAGACCATGGTATGCTTCCCGGCCGGACCGCACCGGAAAAAGGATTCTCCGACACCTTCCTGCCCACAGCCTTCCAGCAGGAAGGACCGCTGGAGTGAAGTGGAGTGCTGCTTGAAGCGTATTCCAGGCCATCAGGTGATGCGAAGAAGGGATGAACATGATGTTGACCGATGTTTTTGCCTAGAACCACCCCAGCTGTGGACGGTGACTAGTGGGGATGAGCCCACCGTACCCGATCAGCACGGGGTGGTCGTGGGCGCGTCGAACTGGGATTTTTGGGCAGGCCGTAGGCTGTAGGCTAGATGTATTTTGCCTCGAACCCTCGGAATTCAGCGGGATTCAGCGGGAATTGGCTTTTTCAGTCCTTTCGCCGTCGGGGAGTTGATATGGCCGTCCGGGACGTCAAGTGCCAGCGGGACAAACCCCACGGACGGCGTTGGACAGGTTTGGAGTTCGAGCGCTTCGAGGCCATTGATGGCACGTCCCAACGCATCGATGGCAGCCGGTCGCCCAGTCATCCCAAGCGTTGGCCCATTGACGCCATTGGGAGGTTTTGTTTTTCCCGAAAGCATTGCGAAGGGTGAAGGGTTCTTCCAGAGAATCTCTTGAACACTTACACTTCTATACTTACACTTGAACACTTTACACTTCTATACTTACAATGGCACTGAAGTTACAATGGCACTGAAGCATCCAAGTGAAAGTTTGCAAGTATGCAAGTGTAAGTATCCAAGTGTAAGCACGCAAGTGTAAGTATGCTAGAGTGCAAGTAAGTATGCAAGTTTAAGTATCCAAGTGTAAGCATGCAAGTGTAAGTATGCCAGTGTAAGCATAAGCATGAGCAACTTTCACGGGAGATATCCTAATGAAAAACATTCCCCCACTTTATAAATTCTCTTTAAAGGCGGAGGGTGGGACGAACAGCGTCAACCGAAAATGCAACCCTCTGCGGAGATCGTGCGTGTGGAGCGCGAAATGCAGGCGACAGTGCGATTTGTCCCATGCCCGCGCAACCCTCTGCGGAGAATCGTGCGTGTCGAGTGCGTGAAATGCAGGCGAGAGTGCGATTTGTGTCTGTCCGGCGCAACCCTCTGGGGAGATCGTGCGTGTCGAGTGCGCGAAATGCAGGCGAGAGCGCGATTTGTCCCATGTGCGCGCAGCCCTCTGCGGAGATCGCGCGCGTTGAGTGCGCGAATTGAAGGTGATGCGGAGATCGATCGTGCGTGTCGAGTGCGCGAAATGCAGGCGAGAGCGCGATTTGTCCCATGTGCGCGCAACCCTCTGCGGAGATCGTGCGCGTCGAGTGCGCGAAATGCAGGCGAGAGTGCGATTTGTGTCTGTCCGGCGCAACCCTCTGGGGAGATCGTGCATGTCGAGGGCGCGAAGTGCAGGCGAGAGTGCGACTTGTCCGGTTCGGGCGCAACCTTTGCAGAAGTGGCCAGTTTGTAGTACAAATGTAGTGCGGGAAAGAGCCCTTCAGAGATGGACTCAGAAGTGGCCAGCTTGTAGTACAAATGTAGTACGGGCAAGAGCTTTTTGGAGCTGCACTCAGAAGTGGCCAGTTTGTAGTGCAAATGTAGTCCGGGAAAGAGCCTTTCAGAGCTGGATTCAGAAGTGGCAGACGGTCCGGCGCAACCCTTTGCGGAAGTGGCCAGTTTGTAGTACAAATGTAGTGCGGGAAAGAGCTTTTCGGAGCTGGACTCAGAAGTGGCCAGTTTGTAGTACAAAAGTAGTGCGGGAAAAAGCTTTTTGGAGCTGGACTCAGAAGTGGCCAGAGTACGGGAAAGAGCCTTTCAGAGATGGACTCAGAAGTGGCCAGTTTGTAGTACAAATGTAGTACGGGAAAGAGCGTTTTGGAGCTGGACTCAGAAGTGGCCAGTTTGTAGTACAAAAGTAGTCCGGGGAAGAGCCTGTCAGAGCTGGAGTGAGAAGTGTGGCCAAAGTACGTTCGTGAAGTCGCAGTGCCATTGGGATTTGCGCGGCCTTGGTGGGAAGTGCGTTTGCGTGGCGCCGTGCCAC